AATCCAATGCTCACAAGGACAACGAAGCCAAGAGCTGCAAGCTTGGTGGTGGTAGCCATTGTGAGTGATCGAGCTGGTGGAGTGAGACGAGTTGGGTGCTAAGAGTAGAGAGGGTTGGCTAGGTATATATAGTGCTGGAGGGGAGGCCGTGCATGGGTGCTATATATTACGGCGATCCGATCGAGCAGAGAGGGTTGGCAAGGTATATTCGATGAGAAGTTTCCTATGATCATAATGCCAGTAGTAACGTTGACTGTATATATCGATCTAGATCGATTAGCCGCTAGCAATGTACTCCCTCCGTCCACGAATAAGTGTACTTCTAGCTTTTGTTCTAAGTCAAAGTTTTAAAATTTTAACCAAATATATACAAAAGAGTAGTAACATATATGACATAAAATTGATGTATTATGAAATTACAATTCAAAACGAATCTAGTGATACTAATTTAGTGTCATAAATACTGCCACCTTTTTTTTATAAAGTTGGTCAAAGTTTTAAAATTTTGACTTAAGACAAAAGTTAGAAGTACACTTATTTATGGACGGAGGGAGTAAATACGCAATTGCCATGCAAATCTCTCTCTTGATTCCAGTCAGTAATTTATTGATTGAGGCAGACCAGTTAGCACAGCACTAAACAGAGAAGGCCTAACAAATTAATTAACAAGATCGAGATTCCCATGGCCTGACATAGACATGTGAAAGAACGCGTAAGTGTTGATCCCATCTGGGCATCAAGATGGAGGCCTCACCTGGATCCATATGATCGATGTAGCTAGGCGATGCGATCACACGTACGTACGTACGTACGTACTGGACTCGGACCGGATCCTGCATTTCACCGAGTTAAGTTAATCTTCTGGCAGTGCAAATGATGAATTAAGCATAGTGTGTTTGACTTGGATTAGCGAGTTTCTTGCGGCATGTGCATCGCCGAAACACCGCGGCCCGGCGGCGACCTAGGGTTTAACCCGTTGTCAACAACTTTGACTGAGCGAGTAATGCACTCTGGTTCTAGTCTAGGCGCATGCAAATTTACAACAAGATAAGTCCGTCGATTGGTGAAAATGGAAGTGTCCAAGTTGACCTAGGATCGATCGAGCTCGTTCCGGGGCCTCGCATGAAGAGGAATGTGCCATGTTCACTGGCGGCCGGGATCCCATCTGAATTTAATTTAATATAAATGGTTCGATTACTAGTATCAATAATACTCCATCGCGTTTCGCAGGTCTGACTTCCGAAATTAATGCACATGGTCTCCAAGAGTCAAAGGGCAACGCTAGCCACCGGCCGCACCCAAACCGTACGATCAAACAACAGAGAGCCACATGATCTCTCCTCTTAAAGCTTTTTTTTTTGTTGCGTGCACTCGCAGAAAAAGGCTCCCGCCGCACTGCCATGGACAAGGAGACGACCGGCCTCGATGCACCGCCGGGGCGCCGTCCTTGTCTCATGCGTGTCTCGTCAGTTCCACGGATGCGGCAGCGTGTGCTCGTGGCTGCAGCTCCGGTAGCGACGGTCGCCAGTCGCAGCAGGTTGCTGGCCGGAGCAAAAATGCCTGTCGGACGTAGCAAACGGGTGAACCGGTGCCACCGCCTGGTTGTAGCGTTGATGGCAAATCTCTGCGATTCCAGCAATACCCGATGCCGGGTGTAGCAATTTGTGTCGTTGGATGCAACTCCAGCGGCCGGTTCCCAACACTTAGTCCCACGTGATTTGTAGCATTTTTTGCCGCCGGTTCCAGCACATCACATAGCTGGTTCCAGCATGGGCGAACGCCGGGTTGCCTGCATTGCGAAAAGGTCTCGACCACTATTGCGAAAAAGGGCATTTTGCAATTGCAACAAGGCTCTTGTTTCAAAAAGGTCTCGACCTCTATTGCGAAAAAATTCTGCAACAAGATATTTGCTGCGAAAAATTTCTGCAACAAGAAGTATATTGCAAAACTTTCCGCAACAAGACCTATGTTGCAAAAAATACTTATTCGTGTTGCTGCAACAAGCAGGATTTATCACAGGCTGACTGCAACAACACATTTGTTGCAAAGATGATTGGTCGCGTGGGTAGAACGGACGACCAACCGCGGTTCCATCCAATGATCAGGGAGGCGGTCAATCTTTTTCTATTATTCGCCGGCCGACGCGTAGCGTCGCCTTATAATAAAAGTCCGTATGATTTTCATACGACTGAGTGGGAGAGTTGCGCGAGCGAGCAAGCTGGGGCGACCGGCACAAGCTTCGGCCGGTCGCCCGGTCAGAATCATTTGGCAAAGTTCAAACACATGTACGCCTATGAACAGGTCTCGACGACGACTAACATACCCTCTTCATCCAAATATATAAGGTATAATACATTTTTTAGGTTGCCTTTGACCACAGGTTTAAACAAGAATATGTGATGTGTATGTCATAAAAAGGATACCGTCAAATTCATATGTGAACGAAGTTTCTAATAATACAATTTTCATATCATACATCTTATATATTATTAACGATATCAATGGTCAAATACAACCTTGAAAAACATACTGTGCCCTATATATTGGGATGAAGAGAGTATATGTATCAATCTTAGGCGTGGGGGGTGGGGACTGAGGGTATTGGTGTCAGGGTTGATATCGTGGACGACCACTCCAAATACATTTACTGAAAGTCATTGTTTGTTTTCTTTACTTTTATATTGTTTTTTTTTGTGATGAAATCTGGGATTTTATTTCGGGAAATGATTCCCTTCGACCGACTGATCTCGTGCGAACGTCCGCCACCTCCGTGTCCAATAGATGGGCTCTTAATCAGACGGTCAGGAGCTAACCCATTTGTGTTCACATTCTACAACTGGTCTGTTGTTTCATAAAGTGGTTATGCAACTAAGCCCTTTGTTGCAAACCGACCAGGGGTTAGATCCTGCAGCGGCTGGGACTATGGAGAGTGACGGCATCTGGGACTACGAAGGGCAGCGGCACAGGCCTACCGGGCAGACCCCCTGCGGCAGCGACTATGATGGGATCTCTGCTGACGGAGCGGCGGTGCTATTGCTTTGTTGTGGTTGGCGGTGACACGCTCGACGCAGGCAACGGCAACGTTGTTTCTGCATATTTTCTCATTTTAATTTTTTCTGCAACATTACCTACATTGCAAAAGTTCTCCCACCACATCATCGTTGTTGCAAAAAGAAAAAGGGAAGACGGAAAAAAAATTTGCATCACGACCTATATTACAAAAAAAAAAAATCCCGCAACACAACATATGTTGCAAAAAAAAACTGCAACATAATCTCTGTTTGTAAATGTTTCCGCAACAAGCCCTCTATTGCAAAGAGAAAAAAGACGTTTGGTCGCTTGATTGTGTCAGATCTCACGGCTCGTGAGGCGTAAGATCGGCCAGCCAAGATGTAGCAGGCCCCCTTTTATTTCAAGGGAAAGAATTACAATCGGAAGTTACAACATCGAAAATGCGGGTAGGGTATTCTAAAAAAAAGAGGATGCAGGGAGGGCGTTGACAAAGCCAACACGCAATGCTCCACAGCGTGCACCCTAGATGAGCTGGACCATGAGCTACCTATTTTTATCATGCGGAAGTTTTCTAGGAATAAAATGCCGTGCTTCAGTATGAACCCTGATATCAAGGACAAGGTGTTTGTAAGCAGAACGGGAGAGCGATCATGAGAGAGAGAGAGAGCAGATAGCGCCCAGCCGAATATATTGGACGGCTACTGGGAGGTCGGTCCACTTAGTGAAAGAGCATCCCTTCCACTATCCCATGTTGTTCTTGACTCAAGCACATATGCATGTCAGATCCTTTCCAAGTCTACTCCTCGCCTCTCGCACCCCTCGCGTCGCCTCCCCCCGGGCGACGCCAGGGGCCCCAACCCTAGCGCCGCCAGCACCTCCCCCTCCATCCCCTCCTGCCGCCGCTGCCGCCGGCGTGGGCCGCGGTGGCGGCGGGCCCGGTGCCGAAGGTCCTGGGCGGGGGGAGGCAGCGGATCCCATCTGAGGCGGCGGGGGCGGCCCTTCTCATGAGATCCAACAGCGGCGGCTAGGACGGAGTATCCGGGCTGTGCGGCGGGGGCCCGAGCACCATCGCCGGCGGAGCGGCGGACCTACATGGACGGCGGCGGTGGCAGCGCCCCATCCGGCGAGGTGGGCTGTCCTGCTCGTGATGGTGACGACGACTACTGCGGATCCAACGCCCCGTTTGGATCCGTCGCGGGGAGTCCTTTCGCCGACCGGCGGCGCGTGGAGGGACCGGAGAGGAGATGTCGGATCTCCGCCGGAGTACCGACGGCAACATACGTCTTCGTGGCGAGGTTCCGCTCGGTTCCAGCCAGCCACGAGGTCGGGAAGACGTAGCTTCCGATGAAAATAGCGCCAGACTGTGGTCTTGGCGGACGATGGCGGCGTCTCAGACGTCGTTTTCTTCTGGAGGCATCGTCGTTGCAGGTCTCATCAACCTGATCG